TAGATGGGAAGCAGCATATTCCAATAAAAATTTTGAGGGACACAGGAGCTTCTGATTCTTTTATTTTAGAATCTGTGTTGCCATTTTCCAGACTCTCAGATACAGGAAGTTGTGTTCTAATCCGTGGAATGGGGTTGGTTCCTTTCTCATCCCCTTTACATAAAGTGACGTTGACATGTGGTTTGGTAGAGGGCGATGTGGAAGTTGGTGTTAGACCCCAGTTGCCAGTCGATGGTGTCCACATGATTCTTGGGAACGGTTTGGCTGGTAGGAAAGTGTGGGCAGATGGCAAGCCTAACATTTTCAGAGAGTCGACAGCGGCCTTTCCTGGTGTGGTCCAAGAAGACAGTTCAGATGTTTTCAGTTGTGTCATTACTCGTGCTATTTCTCGGCTTAAGGAGGCGGAGTGCCAACCCAGTAATCTTTAGTTACCAACTGATTTACAAATTGGAAGTTTGACAGATTCTAGAGATGAACTAATAGCGGAGCAAAAGAATGACAAGTCTTTGGTTGCTTATTTTGAGAAAGTTGTTCTTGAAGCAGCAGTTAGGGATTGTGCTCAATGTTATTTCCTTCTTGATAGACTGTTGGTTAGAAAATATGTTCCACGCAAGGATATAGGGCTAGGAGAAGCAGTTTTCCAAGTAGTTGTACCAGCCTCCTTGCGCAGTACAGTCCTTCAAACGGCACATGGTGATGTGGCAGGTCATTTTGGTGTGCGTAAAACGTATGATCGGATTTTGCATCATTTTTTCTGGCCACACTTAAAGAAGGATGTATCGAAGTTTATTAAAACGTGCCATACCTGTCAACTTACCAGCAAGCCTAATCAAGTTGTTAAACCAGCACCCTTATATACGATACCGGCAGTGGGTGAACCATTTGAGCATCTTATCATTGATTGTGTTGGGCCTTTGCCACGTTCAAAGTCTGGTCATTGTTTTTTGTTGAAAGTAATGTGTCAAGCAACTAGATACCCTGCAGCTTTTCCTTTGCGTACCATTACCACAAAGTCCGTTGTTAAAGCTTTAACTCAGTTTATTTCTACGTTTGAAATTCCAAAGATCATCCAGTCAGACCAAGGTTCAAATTTTACTTCCAAAATGTTTTCTCAGATTCTTAAACAGTTGAAAGTCAAGCATAACAAGTCAACGACGTATCATGCTCAGAGTCAAGGCGCGCTAGAACGGTTTCACCAAACTTTGAAATCCTTACTCCGTGCATATTGTACTGAACTGTCCGCAGATTGGGAAGAGGGTTTGCCATGGCTTTTACTTGCAGCTAGGGAGGTAGTGCAAGAAAGTACAGGGTTTAGTCCTAATGAGTTAGTGTTTGGGCATAAAGTCAGGGGTCTTCAAGCTATTTTGCAGGAGGGATGTTTACCTGAGGAGCCATCGCAGAACCTTATTGATTTTGTAAATGGGTTTAGATTTAAGTTGTATCGTGCAAGTGAGCTTGCTAAACGGAACTTGCAGTGTTCTCAAAAGAAAATGAAGCGGACGTATGATAGGAGATGCGAAATCTTGATACTTTATTTGATCACTTGGACGTTGAAAAGCGAACACAGTTGGTTGAGTTGATTAAGAAGTATCCAGTTTTATTTTCTGACACTCCGACTCAGACTCATTTAATTGAACATGACATAGACATCGGAGAGGCTAAGCCTATAAAGCAAAGATTTTATAGGGTTTCTGTGGAGAAGAAGCAACAGTTGGACACTTAAGTTGAGTATATGTTAAGTAATGGTATTGCAGAACCATCCAATTCAAATTGGGCTTCACCTTGTTTGTTGGTTAAAAAACCAGACTCTACTTTTCGACCATGTACAGATTACAGAAAAGTGAATGGAGTCACCAAAGCAGATCTCTATCCTCTGCCTAGGATGGAGGACTGTATTGACCAGGTTGGGTCTGCAAAATTCGTAAGTAAATTTGATCTGTTAAAAGGATATTGGCAAGTTCCACTTTCTCAAAGGGCACGTGAAATCGCTGCTTTTATAACGCCATCTGGTTTGTTCTCATACACAGTGATGCCATTCGGACTACGGAATGCTCCAGCCACCTTCCAGAGGCTGATGAATCGTGTAGTCTCTGGGTTGGAAGGGTGTGCCGTGTATCTAGACGACGTTGTGGTCTACTCGGATTCGTGGGAGGAGCATGTCCGGAGAGTGCAGGCCTTGTTCGATCGGCTGGTGTGGGCCAGGTTGACAGTAAACTTGGCTAAGTGTGAGTTTGCTAAAGCCACAGTCACCTACCTTGGTAAAGTGGTGGGTCAAGGTTTTGTCCGTCCCGTGGAGGCAAAAATACAAGCAGTGAAGCTGTTTCCTCCACCTACTTCTAAAAAGGAACTCATGCGTTTCCTTGGGATGGCCGGGTACTACTGATCGTTCTGTAAGAACTTTTCCATGGTAGTTGCCCCATTGACCAAGCCAAGGTAGACTTTTTGTGGTCCACCCAGTGCCAGGAGGCCTTTGAATCAGCCAAGGCATTACTGTGTTCTGCTCCGGTGTTGGCAGCTCCAAATTTTAGAAAACCCTTTTTATTGCACGTGGATGCCAGTCAAATTGGCGCAGGTGCTGTACTCCTACAAGAAAATGAGGATGGTTTTGAATGCCCAGTAAGTTTCTTCTCACGGAAATTTAGTAAATATCAGTTTAATTATTCTGTAATTGAGAAAGAGGCTTTGAGTCTCATCTGGGCTTTACAGCACTTCGAAGTCTATGTTGGTTCAAGTTCGATTCCCTTGACTGTATATACCGACCATAATCCTTTGACATTTCTAAAGTCTTTGCAAAACTCTAACCAGCGCCTGATGCGTTGGGCTTTGTTTTTGCAACCTTACCATCTGGACATTGGGCACATCAGAGGCAAAGATAATGTTATTGCGGATGCCCTTTCCCGTGCACCGCTAAACTAATGCATCCCTAATCTTTTTGCTTTGCTGCGGTCTTCCTGCTCTTAAACTGCTCCCAAGGTACCAGGGCTGCTGGGTGGAGGCAGACGGCAGGCAGAAGGCTGCGGGAGCTACCCTTTGCACGGGTTTGGGTTGGTTGTCGCCCTAATGTAAGTGGCCGTAATTTTTAAATGAGAGTGGGACCCTCATTTTAACACTAGGAGCGCCCCTAGCGGTCAACTGACCGTCACTCACTTTAATATGCTAATTAGTGTATTCAAAACAAAACGCCAGAAGTTGACATTTTATGACTTTTACTGGGTACTTGTTGTTTATATTTTGGTGTATTTTGTTTTTGGAAAAAGTAAAGAAAACAAGATTTACACGCATTTTAACTTTTCTAAACCACAGCCCTTTCTGCTGCCCCATAGGGATACATGGCGCAGGGGCGACTGTTGTCATAGTAACCTTTCCCGGGGGTTTTTCGCGCCTTATACAAATGTATCAATATGTTGTCATTAGACTCTAAAGGGACTTGAGGTTTTTATTTGGGAGAGAGAAAGAGTTTTGAATTGAGAGGAGTACAACATGAATAGAGCTGCAAGTACACGGTATGAAGCCCAGGCAGTGCTTCAAGACATTGAATGAGAACAGTCTGACGGAGGTGAGATGTCACAGCGGGGAGAACACTTATAATATTCTAAATCTGAACGTAAACCCGTAGTGCATTCACGGCACGGACAGCAGTGTTTCTATAGCGTGTGTAATGCCAGCCATACACAGGTGTCTGTGTGCGCGCTGTTGCTCCATTCTGCCTTTTCATTCATCATCAATTACATTCTTATATTTATACATAGAAGAAGGCAATAAAGCAGAATACAATATCGCAATAAAATAGAACAATTAGATGAACTATCAAGGCAGAGTGCAAATAGAGCGCTGTGGCCTCTCGTCACCCGCGGACACTGCAGGAGGAGAGCGACTGTGGGTCAGAAGCGGCCCTCATCATATCAATAAGGATATCTTTCTTATTTCATTCAGATAACACTGTGTGTTATTCTGCACAGCGCGCACTGCAAGGCAATGATTATAATTTTCTTCTGATCATAAAGAGCACTGCTTGTCTCAAATAAATACAAATATATATATATAACGTGTCCCGTGTAAAATTGAAGATTGTACATTGACGATGGTAGCCTAGCTGATGATCTCGTGTCAATACGAATACTATTATTATTATCGAGATAATATTTCCCACAGTGGTTTCGGCTGGAAAGAGAAAACAGTCTGGAGATGACGTAAGAAGTAGACGCATATAGCAGCGCGAAGACGTTATGGTCCCGTGCTTTTCTAAACTATCATTTATATTGTTTGAATTGACATATTGTTACTGAGTCAAATTTAACATATAGTGACCGACCTTTTACGTGTTTGCAAAGTTACAAAATAAATCTAGCCAGAAAAGTCTTCGTAATTTTTTTTTATTTCGGCTGGAATTACAATTACTTAGCATATTTAGACAAATAATTTACACAGTTTCATTATGATCACGATTTCCTTGCAACAACAAATTCTGGTTTAGTGAACAATCAATTTGGCAAAAGGCTGTATCAGCGCAAAATACATAGCGGTCAACTGACCGCAGGGGGCGGTGCAAGGTATGTTTAGAGCACGGCGGTCCTAGTGTTAAGGAGGGGGGTGTCACGGCCCTCCCCTGCCTGTTGTGGGAGGCTCCTCATGGCAGGCAGGGGTGGGGCCGTCTGATGGGAGGCACCTGAGTAGATGTTAAATGCTCTGCTCACACTAATGTCTCTCTCTGCTCTCCTCCCCAGGTAATCCCTTTTGGTTTTGTTCCTGTTTGGTTCTGAGTTCATTTGTTTTGTACACACCACACTGTCGCACTCATACAGTCACTCGCATTCATACACTGCACACACCACTGACTCTCACACTGATGCACACCTTTTTGTATGTTGCAAATTTGTTTATTATTATTGTTTGTTAAAATAAATCCTCTTAAATGGCCCAACCTGTTTGTGTTATGTTCCCCACACAGTAGTTTGGTGTTGTAGCAGGCCCTTGAGCCAGGTTTGTTACACAAAATAAACTTAGAGTCCCAGGGCATCTTTCTGAACACTGCAGCCCAGCAGAGCATTGGCAGCTTCCACACACTCAGAGAGGCCTACAGCTGTAGACACAGAGGGAAAAGGGAAGACGCATCATTACATAATGCATCTTTCATCTATGAACAGAGAATACATGTTAACAAAAACACAAGGATTTACCATTCTGTGAGCGCAGCCATGTGGCGGCTTTCATGACCAGCAGCTCCCACTCGTCCTTGGCATCAGCTTTCAGACCATGAAGCCAGACCAGAGCCACAATTGTGGCCCACACCTCTTTGTTTGCCTAAAGATAAACAATGCAAATTGAATAGTTAAAACAGCCAGAGCCAAGAGTAAACAATTGATTAAATTAAGTAATTAAGAGTAATTGAAGTCAAGCAACATGGGAGGGTGGGAGGGGGCATTTAATTCCAACGGTCATGTGACCATGGAAATGTAATGGGTTTCTTTTCAATTCAACTATTGCAAGGTTTTCTTTTTAAAAATGTACAAATTATTTAACTATTTAAAAAAACATGTTATGCTTGTTATGCATTATTTGTACTCGCTGGAAAGTGACATAAACATTTAAAATGGTAGAATAATTGCAACTGTACCTGGCAGCCGCGCTACATACAGTAATAGTGACTCACCATTGAAGGTTGTTTGTCCTGGAGGTCTTGGCTCGTCTGGCTTAGGGTTTTGGCCAGTTCTGGCTCTAACTCCCAGCAGCCCGAAGCCTTCTGCAGACACACCAGCTCCAGCAGAGGGTCCCGCTCAGGTTTGGGCTTTGCAGGCATTGAAGACTCTTCTACCATACATTCATCCGCCATCATGTCATCACAGTCAAAGGCGTTGCAGGCCGCGCCTGCACAGAAACTACTTTGAGTATTCAATGTGGACAGAAACCAATAATATTAAAACACGTCGTCTGAAAAAAGTCCGGCTCTTTTTTTAATAAATTTTTTAACATTGCACAGCGTTTAGTAAGAAAGTAAGTAGTAAGTAAGTCATCTTTATTTATATACCACCTTTCACAGACCAGAGTCACAAAGCGTTTTATAATTGTGGGCATTTGTCACTCACTCCACACAGAGATGGGAGTGAGGTTAGTACAGGAGGCGCATGCCAGACCTATTGTACATGTTTTTAGTGGTAGGGGAAACCGGAGTACCCGGAGGAAACCGGAGTACCCAGAGGAAACCTACGCAAACACAGGGAGAAGATGCAAACTCCACTCAGAAAGGCCCTGTTCCGACCGGGATTTGAACCCAGGACATCCTTGCTGAGAAGCAAGAGTGCTATCCACTCAGCCACCGAGCCTTTAGCCTTTTCCATGTTTATCCCCAACTATTTCCATCCAACAAATAGGCCTATTACGCTGTTATGCACAATACGTGGCTTTGGTTATAGCATGACTACACATGTCATATCGTGCATTACACACTTCCTTTGGTGCTTTAGCCTGGGCTAGCCTCGCCGTGGCTGCTGCCGTCTCTCCTTCGTTCGGACACGGTCTCTACTCTCAATGCTAGGCTTTACAGTCCTCTTCAGTTAAGCATATGGTTAGGAAGGTAAGACTCAGGGAAGACTAAACATCTTAGATTGTCAGTCAAGCTGCATAGGGAGTCAGTTTGCTGGGAGAAGTATGGTAACTTGAGCACTATCCTTTCCATTATTAGGATTTTGACTGTAGTCTGTTCATTGCTATTCACCTGTTGTCCCATTGTCTGTTTCATGGCGCGACGACGGGACCTCTGAACCAGCCCTCTCCATCTACACTTAAGGACTGCTCTGCACCTGACCTGTCCGCGTTCTGCGGCCGCTGCATGACCCTGGTCCTCATTCTGTAGTTTATGTCCTGGATCTATAGCCCGTCCGTCCGCGTGGAGCGGATCCCTCTCTCAATGTGGACCTTCCTGTGGTTTCTCACTTTTTTTCCCACTGGGTTTTAGAGTTTTTCCATGGCGTTGCAGGAGGGTCTGTTAGACTGTTAGAGTCTAACAAGAAGGACTGTGTTGATGATCCAGGACACTCTACATTCTACAACATGTATAAACATTTATCAATAATCATGGACATTGGTCTCTCCCTATGGACCAATACATATGTGTTCTATAGTTCTATATTTTTCATTTCATTTTTACATTCAATTGAATAATCTGTGAAATCTGCACCACAGCTAATTAGCCCTAAATAAGCTTAGAAAATTATTTTTTTCAAAATCCATTTGGAGAAGCTGAATAAGATGTTATTACTTCTGGAATCAAAAGATGGGCTGGCCCATCACAACCCCATAGCAAAGGTAGAATACATGTCATAAGAAAACAGTAAAGCATAGAAATGCCATGCAATATTGAACAAATGCCACCCCCCCAGTACTCTGTGTTTGTTATATTTAGTTATGTCAGTGTATGTGTTATGTGTTATATTCTGTCTGTAATGTTTTTGTTTGTTTGAATAATCAAACAATGTTTTTGTTTTTAAAACAAAGAAAAAGAAACGGTAGAGCAAAAATGTAAAAGAAACCACACATGAAATCACTTACTCTGGAAGACTACAGGAGGAGGAGGAGGAGGAGAAGCAACACAATCTGGGGAGACATAACTACTCATAAGATTACGTTATTATTATTTTGTATAGGTTCACAGAAAACATTACAATTGTCTGGTGGTACATAAGGAAAAGGGCGGCAGAGAAAGACCCTCCTTCTCACCAGAGACTCACTTTGCAATAAAATCATGTGGCAAACTCTTGTCCAAATTGGTTTCTTTCTTCTTGAGATCATAAATACTTACTCTTAGTCTTGAATGCGTGGCTACCCATCCCTTTTCTTCTCGCACCTAACACACAACATTTGCTTTACCCAAAGGTGAATGCAATAGGCCACCAAAACATGCCGGTTGTGTGCGTCTACTCAAACGCCTTAAAATTACTTATCATGTGCCATTCAAACATATATTGCTTTTGCTCTGAAAAAATCCACATTATTATTTATTTTTTCTTCTGCACTTTAAAGCCTTCATTTGAAACACATGTTCCATCAATAATTTGGATTAGTCACATGGTCATCCAATGGAGAATGTATGTATATGAACACACTCACAGATTATACATGTGCTCCTGTTTACACATACAGAGTCTGATTTGTCCTGGGCCTACGTCACCTGAAGGTGTGAAATATCAAATTGGCCATTTTGCACCCCCTGTTTGTCAGGGTAGGCCAAACTATTGGTAAATACTATTTTACTATTGTAAAATGGTAAAATGAAAATTGATCATTTTCACACATGTCGGTTGGAAACTATACACCATCCATCTTCATACCCTTAATCCATTTCTGAGTCGAGGGGTGACAGTCAGAGTTGCACCCAAGTCACAGAGCACCCACCCTTACTGATTCTCCTGTAGGTCGTGAGTCCACAGGAGGATATATGCTCGGTCAGTGACATTGTAGCCTTGATCTGTCAGTAGGGGCTTCAGGCAAAGTGGAATTAAGTGTCTTGCCTAAGGACACGACGACAGCAGACATCAGTGGGAGTCGGTGGAGAAGGTCTCTTGGTGGAACCCACGACCTTCATGCTTAAAGGCCAATGCTCTACCAACTGAGCCACTGTCCTATATACTGATTATTCTGAACCCCCTCCACAGATCACAGAGAATGCCTCGGATAAACGCTTTCTCACAGTTTTGGAAAAGCAGAATGAAATTATGTCCTTATTGGTTGAACAACAGTCGATGTTTCTTGTGCCTAAATGAGATGTGCATGTGTTTGATGGAGATCCACTGCAATATCAGACGTTCATTAGAGCCTTCGAACACAACATAGAGGCTAGGACTCAAAATCAAAGGGATTGTTTGTATTACAGTGCCTTGTGAAAGTATTCGGCCCCCTTGAACCTTTCAACATTTCGCCACATTTCAGGCTTCAAACATAAAGATATACAATTTTATTTTTTTGTCATGAATCAACAACAAGTGGGACACAATCGTGAAGTGGAATGAAATTTGTTGGATAATTTAAACTTTTTTAACAAATAAAAAACTAAAAAGTGGGGCTGCAATATTATTCGGCCCCTTTACTTTCAGTGCAGCAAACTCACTCCAGAAGTTCAGTGAGGATCTTTGAATGATCCAATGTTGTCCTAAATGACTGATGATGATAAATAGAATGCACCCGTGTGTGATCAAGTCTCCGTATAAATGCACCTGCTCTTTGATAGTCTCAGGGTTCTGTTTAAAGTGCAGAGAGAACCATGAAGACAAAGGTACACACCAGGCAGGTCTGAGATACTGTTGTGGAGAAGTTTAAAGCCGGATTTGGATACACAAAGGTTTCCCAAGCTTTAAACATCTCAAGGAGCACTGTGCAAGCAATTATATTGAAATGGAAAGAGTATCAGACCACTGAAAATCTACCAAGACCCGGCCGTCCCTCCAAACTTTCATCTCAAACAAGGAGAAGACTGATCAGAGATGCAGCCAAGAGGCCCATGATCACTCTGGATGAACTGCAGATTCTATTTATCATCATCAGTCATTTAGGACAACATTGGATCATTCAAAGATCCTCACTGAACTTCTGGAGTGAGTTTGCTGCACTGAAAGTAAAGGGGCCGAATAATATTGCACCCCCCACATTTCAGTTTTTTATTTGTTAAAAAAGTTTAAATTATCCAATAAATTTCATTCCACTTCACGATTGTGTCCCACTTGTTGTTGATTCATGAAAAAAAATTAAAATGTTATATCTTTATGTTTGAAGACTGAAATGTGGCAAAATGTTGAAAGGTTCAAGGGGGCCGAATACTTTCGCAAGGCACTGTACGTTGAGCAGTACACTAGAGGTCAGCCTAGGGACTTGGTTCGAAGTTGCCTATATCTAACTCCTGCTCATGGCTACATGCGAGCTAAGGCTTTACATAAAGAGCATTTTGGAGATTCTTTTAAGATAGCATCTGCATACATCGGCAAGGTCCTTTCATGGCCCGTAGTGAAAGGCGAAGACCTTAAAGCGCTTCAGGCCTACAGTTTGTTGCTGCGTGAATGCTGCAATTCCATGGGTGATTGTGTGGGTGATTTGAATGTTTCCACAAACATGCAAACGATCGTAAAGAAGCTACCCTATAAGCTTAGGGACCGTTGGAGAAATGCGGCTTGTGATCTGCAAGAACGGTTTAATCGCAGAGCCACTTTTCATGATATTGTGTATTTTGTGGAGAAGTAAATCAAGATTGCAAGTGACCCTTTGTTTGGAGACATTCAAGACTCTCCAGGAGCAGTAAGAAAGGAGTTTAAATATGTTAAGTCGGGTACTAAACCCAAAGGTAGTTTTGCCACTACAATAGCACCCGTAGAGAATAGGGTTGTGCCTGTCCATAATGGAGAGAAGAACTTTACTTTGAATATGTGTTTGTTTTGTAGGGCTGGTCATGCTTTAGATGTTTGCCTTCTATTGGATAAGAAAAGTTGTCTTTTTTGGAAGGAAAACAATGTGTTTTGGTTGTCTGTGCATTCGGCACAGAAGTAAAGATTGTCGGAAACGTCAGTCATGCAGAGTTTGCAATCTTAAGCACGCTACGTTATTGCATTTCCACTCCAAATCCAAAAGTAGTTCTTCACAGGCTGGTAGTGGCACAAACGGGGCCAGCCAAGGTGCTGTAGCGGCTGTTTAATCTAGTGGTTTAACTGGGGCCGGCAAGCAGGACTGTGCGTTGTCAATCCTGCCTGTTCGAGTGAAGTCCAAGCGAGGACATGAGACCCTGTTAACATATGCGTTTTTAGACCATGGAGACTCATGAATAGGCTTAATCTTACAGGACTGAAGATGGGAATTCTTCTTCGTACAATGGGACAAGAGAAGTGGGTGGACAGCTACCTGTTGTCTGAGTTAGAAGTAGCTGGTCTGGACTCTGATAAGTTTTGTGATTTACCAGAGTACTATACAAGGGAACATGCCTGTTCACAGAGGCAACATTGCGAGTACGAAAATGGCCGCACTTGAGACACTTAAGTATTCCGGAAATCGATGCTGATGTATATCTTTTAATAGGAACCAATGTACCTCAGGCACTGGAGCCATGGGAGGTGGTGCGTGCCATGGATGGAGGTGCATACGCCATCAAGACCATTCTTGGTTGGACTGTGAATGGCCCCCTCAGAGATGTTGGTCATAGGAAGGATCTACAGCCTGAGGTTTCTGTAAATCGTATCTCTGTTGCGAGATTAGACAGTCTTTGGGAACAGCAGCTAAAGTTTGATTTTTCCGAAAGGCAACAAGAAGAGCTGGCACTCTCCAAAGAGGATGAACAGTGTTTGAAATCCGTTTCAGAGTCTGTAAAGCTGGTGGATGGCCACTACAGTATTGGGTTGCCAGTGAGATATCGACACCTCAATATGCCTAACAATAGGAGAGTTGCGGAACAGCGAATGGTGAATCTTAAAAGACGCCTGAGTAAAGATGCATCATTTCGTTTTGATTATGTTTCATTCATGACAGGAATGATTGCTAATGGTTACGCAGAGCGAGTTCCACCGGTGAATTATTATTGGAGTCTACTCTACTGAACATCAAGTAAGTCCCTATCTGCATGCATGTGAATGAATCTACACGTCAGCAACATAGCCCGTGTCTTAGCTGCCGCGGCGTATTGCCTACAGTTTGGACATTTTACGCCACAATATATGGGTTCTTGCATAATGGATTGTACACTAGTTTTACACGCACCCATTTGCATAAACATAGGAACACACCGACGCATTCTGCAGGAATTGGGCATGCTGCGGGTGGGCACGGGCATGCTGCAGGACATCATCACTGTGAAGGAGACAATTGAGAGATCAACATCAGTGTAAATTTCACAAATCTCTCATTTTAGTTTGGATACTAACTTGGAAGAGGGACATTTCTTCTCAGCAGGGGACCTTGAATGGCCTCTCCACTGGTTTTGTTCACAGCAATGAAAGCGGTGAAAGAACTGCTGACTCCAGATTGAACACTGAGGTCAATTACTTTCTTCTTCGCAGCGTCAACTTTCTTGTGACTGGTGTCCTCCTTTTCTTGCTCCAAAGATCGAATGAGCGATCGTGCTGCCAGCCTGTGTACTGTGAGTCTGCAGATGAAGAAGAACCCCCATGTGTCAGATATTCAGGAGTTATATATTATTATTTTAAATAAAGACGATCACAAGGTCAGTGTTGTACACGTGTCACCAAAATGTTTTCTCCTAATTTCTAAAAACCAGGAACTGAAAAGGGTTCCTAATAAAATAAAGGACCTTTAAAACAGCCTGTGACTGTGTGCTTAAACATAGAGCATTGGTCTGTGTCTTACCCTGTATCCTCCACTGGTTGGAGGCTAAAGTTGAGTTTGTTTTCAGTGGGATGTCCTGCCAGACTGTATTTGACAGTCACACAGCCCTCTGCTTCCTTTTTGCTCTAAAGCACATCACACACATTAGCCTATACTGCAAACACATTAGCCTAAACTCTAAACATGAAAGCACCTTTCCAGTCAGTTGGACGTAGAGCAGTGATCGTTGTCCCTGGAAAATGGATGTGAGAGGAAGGGACAGGACAGTGGCAGAGACACCTTTAGGAAGGTCCCAGTTCACCGAGATGTCAACTACTGCTGGCTGCATGGCGAAGCGCAAAGACTGAATCACCTGCAGAAGAAAGAAAGATAAGTTTCGTTTTTTCAGTTTCCTTTTTGGATCTGTAATGCCAAACACTCTCTTCACAATTATTGTTCATTCAGATCAGTTGATCAGTCTGAATATATTCCAAAACCGGATTAGAACCATTAGGTCTATAGGCTGCAGTTTAGGACCTCGACCAGCAGGGTGCCTATTGAATCCATTTACCTTCTATGATCTATGGCAGCCATTCCCAAACTCAGTAACACCGAGGCCCCTTAAAATCTGACGGGTCTGCGTGGCCCCCCAAAATAATAACCAAGAAGACAACATTAAGAATAGGCTCTCTTGGTATTTTATTTTGGGGAAATAGCCTCTGCTACAAACATTGTAATACAAAAATGATTACAGTGGATTAATCAAGTCAAATAATGAACACAAATATTTTAATATTACAAACAAAACATTATAAATTTAACATTAAATAATTATATATATATATATTTTTTTTTTTTATGACCTCCCGCGGCCCCTGCAGTACCCTCGCGGCCCACCAGGGGGCCGCGGACCCCACTTTGGGAGACACTGATCTATGGACATGGAACTTTGGCCCGGTGCATGATATTCGTGCCATAACACACATTTAAATCTGCTGGGTTTGGTGGTATTAATTGGATGGCTATACGAGTAGCTGTGCATGTAAATTTCAATAGGTTATATTTATAATTGGTTGTATAATTAGTGTTAAACTTAACACAGAGGCACTAGGCCTAGGGGAACAGCCATACAATTTAAATCAATAATTTATGATATTTCTCCTCCGTCAGTCATATACAAAGTAAGCAGGTGTGGGACCACCCAGTTGTAGTTCTCTGGAGGGAGAAAACCATTATTACAACTATTATACTAATACTACGCAGTAAAAAGAAAATATGAATGTAAATGTACATATATAAAGCGTTGCTTAATTATAAGTAAGTAAGTAATCTTTATTTATATACCGCCTTTCACAGACCAGAGTCACAAAGCGGTTTACAATTGTTATCTCGCTCCGCACAGAGATGGGAGCGGGGTCTATTAACATGACTATTAAACAACAGGGGGGCGATTGTGATAACTCATATCTGTTCAAGAGGAACCCAAAATCATCTTACTTTGGGCTGCATCCTGTCGTTGCCTGAGATGAACTGTGCGTGTCCTCCTCCTTCTTTTGCCAGACCATTGATAAGAGCAGTGCTGGCTCCTTCCCCGATCCCAAAGGAAAAACATCTGGGAGAAGTAAAAGATGTGTGACTTGTACATCACAGCAGTTCAACAGTTGGGTTAGGGTTTTTACCTGTGAGCGGCTGCATTAGACTTGACCAGGTTTGTGACTTCTTTGGTGTTTCCTACTTCTCCATCAGTAAAGACAAACAACTATAAAGCAAAGCAGTCAATCAGTCCAAGACACAATATTCAATGTATTTGTCATTTTAAGATAAAAAACTAATTGGAAGTTCTTCATGCCATGACTGTTGCAATCCAAGACTGTTGCAATCCAAGAATTTTTTTTGTAGCAAAAGGATGCGTGAAATGCCAAGCACAAATTTCCATCCCGGGACAAGATAGTATTCCTTAAAGATGCCATTTGACGCTTTTTGACTTTTCTCGACTGTAAACATGATTACAGTGCTAGTTGATACACATTTCATACACATGCTTAAAGTAGTTTTTTCATTGATTTTTTCATTGATTCCTTCAAGCTTTAGTTAGAGGGCGACCTTTCCCTCGAGAGGCAGTGAATCGCCCAGGGGTCCACATCATGATAATTTCAACATCAATGAAGGTGTGTGTGATGTATTTAAAATGGTTCTTAAATAATGTTGTCAAAACAGAGAAAATACAATACACTATAAATATTCTGGTTGTCAGTAATAATAATGATAATAGTTATAATAAAAACATACTGCTGCTAACAAGTACACATGTAATACAATTTATTATTGTTTGTACTAGAATACACTACTTTATACTTGTTTATTCTGTTAAAGATAGAGATTTTATACTTGTTTCGTTGTTGCTAGAGTTAGAGATTTTATTTTATTTTACTTAGTACAGTTATTGTTCACTTATCTTGTGCTGTGTGCTCCTCATTCCTACTGTTCTGTAACTTGTGATGCAACACTGAAATTTTCCCGCTGTGGGATGAATAAGGATCTCTTAATCTTAATGATAAAATCCAAAAGGTGATAGACAAATCAAAACAGTGAATCAGCAGCACAACTTCTCAGTGACTAAAAGTGTTAGGATCATGTCAACTTGGAGAAAATGTGATAAAACTGATCTGGAAACCAGCGCTATTACCACAATAAAAGACGCTAACATGGAGCCCCGATCTGCAAGTACAGTGCTACTAACTCGCCGTATACCTCTGTAAACGTAATAATTAGGGTCTGATTCTGGATCAAGGACATGGGGCTCGATGTGTCGGATTGCCATCGTTGGAAAAAAGTTTATCCTCAAGGTGTGAAATTACTATGTACTATGTCCAAAGTAAAATCTGAAGAGTTTACTTTGGAGAAAAACAACTCAGTGTGAGGCTACGTCACCGTGCGGGCGGGGGGAGGCTTGTTTGGGTTGAGGTGACATCACTATGCAAGAGATGGCTATATAATAAGAATGTTGTATTGTGTACCACAGTAACTTAAATTATTATCACACACGTGCATAGGATGAACTGTGAAAGAGCACAATATGGCACCTTTAAAAAAACAGACAAGCTGTGCCAAAGCCCCCGATGTCATCAGAGCCATGTGTTTATCTGTCTATGTACTGACAATGGACCTTGGACAGTAGTGGACAATACACAGAACTAAACAAAGCCCCATAGCAGCTTGAGTAGGTGCTCTAGACCAATTGAAGGCAATGACTTTTTAAGTTTTAAGTCTTTGAGTTGTACAGATTTTTATGTACATTTTTTGGTTGTTTGCTCAAGACATGTGGGTCTGCATCGGTGTGTTCGAGTGTTTTGAGTTTGTGTTTTGAATATAAAGTATAATAAAAAAAATGTATTCCCAAAATTGTTGTTGTTCACACATTGTGTCCTTTTACTTGTGTATGTCGTTTTTCTTTGTTGTACCACAAAACTAAAACTGAAATGGGACAAACTCATAGACCATATATCAGAAGTGGACTAACCGAGTGCTGAATACGGAAGAAGCCCTTTTGAACATATGCTAACTGGAGCCATGATCTTTAAATGTGCATTTGTGACATGAGTTAGCTTTGCACCGTAGTTTCTCCCGCAACTGAAGGCATATGGTGGTATATTTTCTTTTGCATTAACTGTTCAGAAAACAAAAAGTAAAGCAGACAACTGTTGCTAATGAGGAGGTTAGAGGCAAGATCCTTCAAGTTAATTTTCATGTTGCAAAAGAGAGGCTTAAAGCGATGGCCTCATTCACAAGCCCTTTTATCCCTTTTTACTATGATTGTGGTTATTTTATGATTATTACTATCTATGTGCGTCTTTCGTTTCTGTTGTCCGTTTTGGCTACTGACGGGCACTTGAATTTCTCCCAGTTGGATCAATAAAGTTTTTATCTATGTACCTGTCTCGCTGGTTGGGGATGCAGGCCTGGCTGTAAATGCGTTTCAACGGTGCCAAGATCTCTGTTCCTCCAAGGTTAGCCTTCATGTTTTCCACTTTTTTCAGAGCTTCCTCCATTGTTTTCTGACTATACTTCACACTTTCCCTACAGAAAGAAGCACAAATAAAGCATGATTTTGCATCCGTGTCAGTGCTTAAGGCAGTGCTGAAAATACATGTTACAATATTTCAAATTACGGAAATATTTGTTCAAAGGTGGATCCAAAACTGTAGATGTTAAAGAAGCAGCCCATGGGTAAACTCTTGAGCAGCAGCAGTAGAGTGTCCTGAGAAAATAAAAACAGTATTCAGGAGAAAAGTTCAAAGAGTTACTAAAACAACTCACTTGGCTTGCTAACCCGTGCACTGGCAATCCGAGACACTGATGTTCCCATATTACTCATATTACAAGTCCATGCTTCCAGATCGATCCAACAGAAACACAAACTCTCCAGAGGACGATACCGATGACATTATGTCTTTGGGAAACTCTGGGTACAGGCTCAACATAAGCGCTGGGTCTCCCATCAACGAGCCTGAAATCAAAGGCCAGCTTTCTTAACCATTCAATAATAGACATATAGACAAAATATAATAACATCAATGGCCCTATTTTATGAGCAGGCAATGGGGAAGCTTGCATAGGCCTACGGTGGCGAATACGGAATCAAACTAAAATCTAAATATTTCAGAATTCCTATCATCAAGAGGACATTAATTTAATGGGACACCAGGGATCTTTTCCAGACTTTGGACACTTCTATTGAAATGTCCATAATGAATAAGTTACAGTGGATTTAGGTAAGGTAAGTACACACTGTCCACAAGATCTTTCTCTTGAATTTCTTATAATCACCACTAGATATCAGGCAGAAGCACAATGTGCCTTTTTAAATGACCTTGGAAAAAGTTGGAAGATCACTGATTTTGAAAATTGACCATCATCTGGTTTACAGCTCTACAGCGCACATTAAAACTGATCTCTTTAGAATGTCATCTCGTTTTATATCATTTGTGGTCACTAGGAAACCAGGGCTTTGCAGCTGTCTTCTACCTGCGGCGCAATGGTGTAGGTTTGGATCCATCATGGTAGGGGAACATTCATACGACCGGAGTCTACACCCATTTGACACGGGTCCAGAGTTTTCCCCAGAATTTGATGGTGTAATCACCCTCTATATTGCAATAGTGTGTTGCCTTCTATATCTAACTCAGCTGTTGAAGACTGGAAGCAGTAAGGATTTTTTAATCGTCTAAAACAAATTCAATTGGATTGAGCTTCTGAGTTTTGTGTTGCGTTATCTATACTGACTTAAAACTAATCCAAATCTAATAATAAGCCTCACCTGAGGCTCTAAACAGTTCAGGAACTGATCTCGATCTTGAAATAAATCATGCTCTGATTTTCAATTTCCTATAATAAAATAAAATCAGAGGAGAAATATTCGAATTAGAATTACAGTGAGTAGCTCACTACTTGTTTGACATATCCTATCATTTAAAAACAATTCATAGTCCTTGGCATACCTACAAATTCCAACCTCACCCTGATGACATGAAGGGCCTGTTGCTTCTACTCAAATTCCCTTTATTGTCTCTCTTGTTGGTGGAGTTTCCTATGTATGTTAACGTAAAATTAACATCACAATTTATAATTTGTATTTACTTGTGCTTTTCTCTTACTTCTTTCAACTGTTATATGCTCTGATATCTTTATCTTTTTTTGTGGCCTTGGTGGCATTTTTTTAAATCTTATAAGATGGTATAGACAATCAAAAACCAGACATTCATATACATGAATTGCAGAATCATTTATATAACTTGGCCAATGTCAAAGTTACATAGTATTTCTCAATACACTGGAGTTAACAAGCGTGTGGCAATAAGTAACCGTGTGGATTTTTCTATATTTTCTTTTTTGTATTCCACTCTCAACCCAAAAGGCAAGTAGATGACTCACAGGGCTCTTCAAGTATGCAAAATAAAAACGTAAATGACCTGGTGTGGTGTGTTTTGCGCCACAACCGGCATGCATCGAATAACGCAATGGAAATTTAGGTATCGAGCTTTAATTTCGGAGCGCTGGCCTGGGATTGCGCTTTGAGGGAAGAGTCAGGGGAGAGACATGTCAGAGACCAGGGGAGAAGGGGGAGATACGAGGAGACCCGCACTTGCACATGGTTTGTCTGCATATGGTCCGAGCTCGGTTACCATGTAGAGCTGTGCTTTCATGCGGCGCGGCTGTCATTACCCAAGCTGGCAAGCAGCTGCACAGGACGTGCACATTCGTGTGCATCGCTGAATGTGCTTAGAGCAAATCGAACAGCAAGTGCGCGGTCAAACATTTACAGAAATTACATTATAGCAGATAAAGGTTGTAAAACTAAAAATGTGGATCCGTGGAATATGTTCATCCCTAGTTTTATCCTGATTCACAAACACACCCACTTATACTTTTGGTGGTAAGGCACATAAGTAAAATATTTTTTTCAAGGACTTTCAACAAATGTTTCTTTATTGGAGCAGTTCTGTACTGTCTCTGTGCGTGTGAGCTCCTCGGCACATTAAACCGTGGCTAACAGATTGAAATAACGTAAGTCTTTGAAATGGTAATAGATCTACAGTACTTCTTGATTACTCACGTGCTTCAACTCTCAGGGAACGGAAAAACAACACTTGCTTCACGTGGTAACTTTAAATAATTAAACAGTCGTCAGTGCTTCAGTATGGCGCTGAAGACGACAGCCATTCACTGCAGGAGAACTGGAGCGGGTCACGTGCTGCTGCTGCTGCTGTTGCTTGGAGGCGGGAGGAGGCGCCCGTGTGCACAAACGGAAGACAGACCTTTTTCACGCCACGCCTTCTACGCCATCTTCGCCTCGGAGAACGCAAACTTACGGTTTTGCGGTAAGTCATTGACAGGATATAATTTTCAGAAAAGAGTTGAAAAATATCTCAATATCTACTGCTTTTTCAGAAACTTCTTCAAGGCTAAGTAGGGAGCACTCCGGTACGGTCAATTTATGGAATATTTTTCCCATCAAAAGGTTTGTGTCTTAGTAAACGGTGGTTTGGTCAAGCTAAGGCTAAGATAGCATCCAGTTACTGCTCGGTTGTTTTTTTTGCTTTAGAAAGCATTTTGTTTACAATATCGTAGTGTAGACTGTAAAAAGAGTACTACATAGTGAATGTTATTTCTGAGCAGGTGTTTCTGATATAACTAATTCATTTTCTATCTTTTTAGTTTGCGCGATGAGAATTTAGATGGAATTTAAATATCACTTTTGAATCTTCCTCAAATACAATTTGCTGATGTACAGTGGTTTGTGGACAAATATTCATTGACAATGTTCTAAATGGACAAAGGCTACACATTCTTTAATGAAGAATATATTTTCAACTCCCTCCAGGGTGAGGGTAATTTTAGTTTGGATATTATATTGAGAAAAGGTAGGAACTTGTTTACTTACAATTTATTTTCAAGCAAGAAAATTCTACTTCTAAACAAGATTAATTTTCATCAGTATCTAATGTAGTTCAGGGTGAGGTTACGTGAGGGAAGATGTCAAGGTAATGAAGGAAAAACGGGAAGCTCTCATCTTCAGGTTTACTTTGAGTGTAGCTTAAAATAGTTTTTGAAAGGGAGGGTCAGTAAACTTTGCAATCTCGTTGCTAGATACTCAATCACTTTTGTTTTCACTTAAAGATAACCTTCTTTCATGTAATATCCAACTGTGCAAGGAATTCATGCTCGTGCTGCGTGGAAAGGGCATTGTGCAATCACCTGTGGCTTTCTATACCAAAATGGCTCACTATGTACACTGGGCTTTAAAACTGTGCCATACTCTATCCTGCACAGAGTAGTTACATTGCAATCATGGATCGCTAGGACACAGGTTGACCTTGAATGTCAAAGTGGAGCTCATTGGAAATTGTTTATTTAATATTTTTAGGGGATAGACCAGAGGCTACCACGATATGTGGTAAAATAAATCCACAATGAAGACCAAGGTTGTAAGATGTGGTGTCCAAAAGCACTCTTTACAAGCCTATTTGGTGAGTTTTGTGTGATACATGCACATTGTGACCAAGTGTGAATAAGTATAACCCCCATATTAATACATTTATATTACCAGTATCTATGTACTAACAATTATATTTTTATATTATATATAATTAAACATTACTCTATATGTACATGATAAAGAAAATTATTATAAATCTTATATGGATAATATTATGATAAGTTAGGATGAGAAAAGATGATATGAAAGACGTTATAAGGAATTAAGGAAACTTATAAGCTATAACATATAGACATACACAGTACAAATCAAGTGATGTTATTGTAAAAATAACGGCATAAACCCAATCTTGTAGCAACCATCATTTACGTTAGTTCATTTAGCATAATAAAGAGGGTGGTAGTTAAAAAGTCTTAACTCTTCACACTCTTTTGAATGGATTGTTGTTAATACAAAAAAAATATGTATATTTGCCTTCTAGTTGGCTTGTTTGATGTCTTTGCTGGTCGAAAAAAAAATATTCCTCAATGAGCGGTAGCTTTTCATAGGGTTGGTTTTAACTAATGCACATTGCTGGGCTTATCCAATAAACAAGATTGGGGCGAAGGTGAATAGACTAAAATACTTCAAAAAACCTCTATAGAATGGAAAATCGACAATTAATAGCGAAAGTCCTAATCTGTACACAAATTGTTGTAAATAAGAGGCAGCTCGTCTTTTATGTTTTAGTTAATGTAGTTTGTCCAGAAATAACACCTTTGCTCCATGTCCTTATTGCTTGCAGCCCTGTTACTTGGTTAGAAAGAAATAACATTTATTAATCGTTTTAATCCCATTCTTTCAGCAGTTGATCAAAAATGTACATTTATCAAATTAGTCATTGGTCAGCTGTTCCTAAGTTTACATTCCCTTTGGACAGATTAAGATTGCTACAATTTTGTCTCAACCATTTAATCCAGAGGCCAGGTGACAACTTTTTAACTTGCTCTAAAGTGCATACGTTGCCGTATGAATACTACCAGGAGAAGGATGCTTTGTGTACATCATGGACTGAAACGCTTGGCTACTGATGTCCTAGTGTTGGCAGCCACATCTCTCTCTCAAGCTCTTCCGGGACAAGACTCTTCGCTCTCCTTCAATTTCATAAACATCGGTGCTTGTTGGCCTTTCCTTTACTTCTTTTCCTTTACAAACAACAATATAAAAATTGCATTAGTTTACAATACTGTTCAGATGTTATGTGGAAAAAAAATTTAGTCGTGAAGTCACCTAATTATTTGAGATACAATAGTTATTCAGTATACCTTTTGCTGCATTAGGACACAGAAAAAAACACACAGACACACACAACTTACCATTATTCCAAAAAC